TGATGGTGGTGATAATGATAGAATAACTCCTTGCAAGATGGTCTTTAACAAAGAATTGGCAAAGAAGATGGTATGGGTTGTACACTGACTAGATCAGGAGCTGGCTGCTCTGTCCCTTGTCACCTATGTGACCTGTACCAGTTTCCTGGTACAGTTGTTGGAGACAACAACTGGAGGTAACAGGATCTGGCTCAAAGGGTTACTGGAAGGATGAAATAAAATAATCTATAGTAAACTTCTGACGAGCATAAAGCACTTGGTACAATACTTAGCACATGCTATTTAACAAATAATGACTAACATAGGCAAGTGGCAAGTAGGACAATATAGTAAGTGTCCATGTTCTGAAGAAAGGCTGGGCACATTTCAGAAAACAACACATGGTTTGGAGTCTGCAACAAAGAGCTCATACTGTAATAGATCTCAGGACAGAGGCCTTTGCAAACCCTCGCCAACAAAGGTCCCACTATCAAATCTCAGAGCCCTCAGTCACATTAGCTGGTGTCCATGGCACCACTGTGCACACACACACACACAGCCTACATACCCAAGGAGGGCAGCTCACAATAGTGACATCTATTCCCTATGGTGTATACTTTCTCTAAGGTTTTCATTAAGGAGGACAGCAAAGCTGCAAAAGAATATGCAGGGGATGGAAGAGAAGATCACTCAATTGGAAGAGGACCACACAGTTACATAAATATGGAGCCTTCACTTGGAGACAGGAATTCTCTCTCTCTCTCTCTCTCTCTCTCTCTCTCTCTCTCTCTTTCAGTTTAACTTCAGGGGTGACTTTGTACATATGACTTTGCTATTTGAGAGAACATTATTCTTTCCTATATGCTTACAGAGCTACCATCTGTGAGTTTCCCCTTTGAGAAACGAATTTAACTCTGAGGACTCTCCAGAATGGAGAAAACTGAATCATAAAGTGGTGGTGTGGGACTGAAGGAGAGTGGGAAGGGAAGCTGAGTCTATATGCAGCCAGCAAGCTGTGAGCAAATGCAGTCAAGAGTGCAGCTTTTTAGCATGACCTCCACATGCTCCATGATCTCGCTCCTTCTCCATCTCTCTCTGCTTTCTACAGGCTCCCTAATCTGCCAGCATCCCATCCTGCATCCAAAACTGATCCACACTCCCTGCATCTGCTCCTGCTCTAGGTGGAATGCCCTGTGCCCACTCGAGATCGAGACGGGACTGTAATTGTCTGTATGCAGATCTGTCACTCTACCCTGGGAAATCCTGGAGGACAGTGTGTCCTATTCATATCCATAGCTGCAGCCCCTTGCCTGGGCTCTGCGAATAGAGAGCTACCAGGGAGCATGGGACATGCACAGAACTGAAGCTTGGTTTCAGATGGAATTGTTATTTCAAATGCTAGCTCTGCCTCCCACTAGATATATGACCCTGCATAAGTTAACCTCTGTGTACTTCAATTTTCTCATCTGTAAATTGGGTTGTTGGGAGAATTGTCTATATGTAAAGCACTGAAAACACCACCTGACAGAGTAAGCACTATGTAAGGGTTCATTGCCGTGGTCATCATTGTGGTTGTTAAATATATGTGGAATAAAGAAAAACTGAAAAAGGAAGGGAGTTGGTGTGACCAGTACCTGAGCAAACTTCTGGCTGGCTCAGTGCGCCTTGTTAGGTGGACTATGTTGTGTAGCTCCTCTCTGTATCCCCACAAAAGGAGAGGAAGCTTTTACTCTGATTGGTGTTCATGACCTTATTTATTTTCTTTTGTCTTTGTTTTGGTTGTTTTGGGTTTTTTGAGACAGGGTCTTTTCTATGTTGCTCAGGCTATCCTGGAACTTGCAAACTTCCTGGCTTTGCCTCCCAAGTGCTAGGATTACAGGCATGAGCCATCATGCTTGGCCATGACCTTATTTCTTTCCTGAGCTATGCACCGCTACCAAAGCCAGCTAGATGGGACTCCCAAGCCCTGCAGTCGTAGCACAGCATCACATGCACGGGACACTGCTGCCCAATTCCCTGTACCCAGCCTCAACTGTAAGTTCTGGCTCCAAGAACATCAGTGCTGGAAATTAGAGATCATCTTGCCCAAAATTACTCCCAAAGCAGATGGGGAAACTGAGGCCTAGAGCAAGGTCATGTGTTTGCACTTTGTTAGTTCCAGGCTTATACAATATGACAAGCAACATATACTTGTTATGCAGCCAACTTTGTCATGGGTACTAAGAATACCATAGTCATTGATTAAAGTTAACTTTAAAGTGTATCTGGACTGGCGATTTCAAACCCTACATTCTAGGGCATCAGGATGACATATGAGCTCTGTTGCAAGTATGCCACCATTCATTTGATGAATATTTCTTGAATGCCTACAATGTACTATGTATTCGGGACACAAATCAGATGCCACCTGCCCTCAGGACCTCACAGACTAATGAAGAAGAGTGATATTAAGTAAGCCATCAATATCTGACAGTAAAGTCCTACTGTTCTGAGTGAATTGTGTTCAAATATGCTAGGCTGAGCATCTGAGCATCTCCACTTACATGTCAATGTGCTTTCTGAGTGGCAGAAGAAGGCAGGCCTTGGGGTACCAGGGGAAGTTACAGGCAGGGCCTTGGAAATTGCCCACCCTACTGGGCTCACTATGCAAGGGTCTCATACAGGCTTACATTGCTATTATGTGACTGTAGAGATTGGGAACCAGCAAATTAGCTCTACCCACTCCCAGTGTACAGACAAACAAAGTGAGTCCTGAGTTGTTTAACCTGCTTGCCTGAGGTAGCACAGCTGATGGATGAAAGAACTCTAAAGTTATGTAATGACTCACACAGGCTTCTTTCCAAGAAAAAGCCCAAATCCCATAGTGCAGCCTATGATCTGACCCCTGGTCACTTCTGCAGCCTCATCTCTCACTATGTTGACTCTCATTCTGTAATCCAGCCAGACTGAACTACATGCAAAGCCCCAAATGTACCTCTACTTTGCCCACACCATGCCCTCTACCAGGGTCCCTAAGTAACTCTGGTCCCACTTTCAGCACTCAGGACTCAGTTAGTGTTTACTTCCTCCAGGAAGCCTTGCCAGATGTGGCTCCCTCTGCCTCCCACAGCACTGTACCTTCACATACATAGAGAGAAACACTCATCACGTAGTGTATTCATCCATTCAACAACTATTTATTGAGCAACTTCCATGTGCCAAGCACCTGCTGGTGCACAGCAGTCACATAACAAAGCCCCTGCCCTCGTGGAGCTTACACTCTGGTGGGGACAGCAGACAATACATAAACAGTACATAATATGATGTCAAACAGAGTTTACTGCTGTGACAAAAAATAAACAGCAAGGGCTGGAGGCTGTGGGGGCATCACTCAAGGAGGCCTCTCTAAGGAGGCAGCATCTGATCACAAAGCTGGAGAAGTAACAGCGTAAGCCATGCAAGTAAGTGTGAAGCAAGCATTGCAGAAGGCAGCAGCAAGGGCACTGGGATTACTGCAATTATTTTTTCACCTGTGTTCATTCCCTACTGACCTATAAAGCCCTTGAGGGCGGGTGCAGCTTAAGCAAGATTCCTAGGGCCTAGTGCTGAACTTGGCACCACATAGTGGACATTTACAGAATGAATGAATGAACCTAGGCTGGGTTAGCTGAGTCCATCTGGCCTAAACAAGAACTAGCCTGTTTCGTGTCTCTCTCCCACAGGGCTAAGCTGAGCTCAGGCACTACTTAGACCAAGCTGCCTAGCCTCACTCTGTGCCAGTTTTTGTCCCCGGAGTCTCTCTTCATTAGGACTGTGACATTGACAAGTTCAGGTTCACCTTTTTGGCCCTCATATCTCTGGTCTGGATCTGGGACCCTGTCTAGAATCTAGACGTTCTAGAACTGGGAGAATTCCCTTGCTTCCTATTCATGAAAGTCCCCCTCTAAGTCACCTGGAGTTAGACTTTCCTGATGACTAACCCCTTACCTTCCTAGAAGTCCCCCCTGCCTGATCCCTGACTTCTCTCCAAATCAAATGACTCCTTCCTGACTAGGATATCAACTCCACATCAGTCCTTTCTATGGCCATCTCTCTTCAGGTTCCAACATCTACCACACCCAAGGCACAAGTCTCTGTACCTGAGTCCTGTTGCTAGCTGCAGAGCCCTGTTAATTTCAGCAGGTCATCTGGCCAAAGTCTCCAGACTCGACTGCCATAATAATCAAAATCCTGACGCTCCCAAAAGCACATTAAATAATCCTATGCACTGCAAATAAAGTCAAATGGATTTATCCACACAGCCAACTGCAACAGAAACCTCTGGAAGTCATCGGTGCTTCACCCCTGACTCCATGACTAAACCGGTTCAAGGATGAGTAACTCATCTCCTTATTTATCCTTTCATCCACCAGTTGCTGACACCTGCCAAGCCCTGAATCATAAAACACAAATCTGCCCTGGTGGTGGTGGTGGTGGTGGTGTGGTGATCATGATGGTGTGGAGGAAGGGAGAGGGTGGTAGAAATAGGTTGCTGTTTATTGAATACTTGTGCTATGCAACACTAGGCAACAAATCTTCTGATAACTAACAAAAGTATACAATAGGTACTAGCATCAGAGAAGGTCATGGGCTAAGAGGAAAGGCAACTTGCCCAAGATCGCTCAGCTAAGCAGCAGGGTGTAAGTCTGTCTGCCTCCCAAGTACAAACAGTTAAGCTGCACAAGAGTTGCAAGCAAGCGCTAAACAAATCGAACTTATATGAAGACGTCAAAGAGAGGAGGTCCCGGTCCTAAGGGCTGCTGGAGAAGACAGACAGGCATATCTACAAAGATACAGAGCTGTAGGGGAGCCAGAGGGGGAGAATGGCTAACTTGACCTGGAGGAAGTGGCTTCGGGGACCAGGCCTTGAAGGATGAGCAGTTTGCCGCTGACCAGCAGGCTGTGAGCGAGGCGCAGCAGGAGCTCAGCGCCTGGGCCGCGCGGGGTCCTCTGAGGTCGTCCTGTCCACCCCCCTGTGCCCACGCGGCGGGGTCGGACCTCACCTCCTTCCACTTGAGCTGGCGGATGCTGATCTTCAGGGCGTCCAGGGAGGTCCTGGCCTTGGAGCTGTCCACGGTGACGGCCCGCTGCGCGCGCTCGTCGGGAGGGCAGCCGGAGCTCCGCTTGCAGCCTCGGCCCTTGTCCCTGGGCTTGGGGAGCTGGCCGAGGCCCCGCGCGGGCGCTGGCAAACCCTTGGGCTTGGACTGGGGCAGCATGCGCGGCGGCCGCTGGGGGCCGCGGGCATCGCCCTCCTCGGCCGCGCGGGGTCGCGCGGGGGCCCGAGCCCGGGGCTGCCCCTGCTCCGCCTTGCCCTCGGGCTCCCCGGCCGCGCCCGCGTCCACGCGGACCTGCTCCACCGCCGCCCGCGCTCTGGCCTCTGCCTCTGCTTTGGCCTCGGCTACCGCCTCCACTTCCCACCGGGCCGCCAGCTCCCTCTCCGAGCTGCCCCGCCGCATGGCGCTCAGGGCCGGGGCCGGTGCCAGTGCCACCGCCGCCGCCGCCGCCGCTCCGCCACCCCGGCCCACGACCAAATTGCCGCCGCTGCCACCGCTGCCACCGCTGCCACGCGCTCCCCGCCCGAGCCCGTTGCCATGATCGCTCAGGCTCCAGTTGACAGGGACCGTCGCCGCCTCGGACGGAGCCCGGCAAGGGACAATCACCGACCAAGCCCCCTGCGACCTCATAGGCGAGAGTACCCACGTGACCAGAGCTGTCACAGAGGCGGCAGCGGCCATCTTGGAAGTGGGCAACGAATCGCGCAGGCCCGTCCACCCTAAGACCCTGTTAGGTTTCTAAGTGTTGTGGAGTCTGGCCAGGACCGGCTAGAGGTGATTGAGGATGGGAAGGTGTTGAGCACCCTCGGAAGCACATCTGTCCTAAACAAGCGGCTCAGTTTCCTCACCCTCATGCACACTCGCTGGGATAACTCTGGGTCCCCACCTCACCCATCCCAGGAAAGTCCATCATAGGGAACCTGATCAGGCTGGTGATGGATATAAGTCCAAGCCTTAGCAACAAGAGCCCCCAGACTGAGAGGGAAGACACCTTTCTCTGCTTTGGGAGAGCTACCCACCAAATGAAGAAACCCTACAAATTCCCCATGGAGTTGAGGACATCAAGGACTGATTTTTCTTATTCTGTCACTTCTTTTTTGTAATAAGAGATACATAAAAAAATTTTTAAAAAGGACTATTTTTAAGGTATAGTTCAGTAATATTCAGTATGTCAACACTGTTGCACAGCACCTAACAGGTAACTTCAACTGCTTTTCCTGAAAAGCACTGACTCCTTACTTGGGCCCACAAATGAACTAAAAGCAGGAAAAAGGTTTGGCGTCCCCGCCTCTATTTTGTATCTGTCTTTGCTGTAAGCCATTTTTCTCTGCAGTCCCCTTGCAATCACCTTAGGTTCCAGAAAGGACAGGACTGATCAATAGCATCTTTACAACAAGGAACTGAAACTACCCCTAAGGAACTGCAGAGCCTTGCAAGATAGAACCCGCTCGCCAAATGAGGGCAATTAACTGTAATGATGAGGCTGCACCCTGGAGCAGGAGTAATCTCATGGGAACCAGATTTCCTCCCCTCAAGTGATGACAGTGATAACCACTTCTCAGGGACCCTTGGAGAACCAGATCTGAGATAATCAAGTCAGGCTACACTTTGACCAAAACTGCTTAATTATGCATACTTTTCAAGCATAAAACTCACGTCTATACTTGGAAGATGGCCGAAGATGGGCTGAAGTACTTACTCTGTCTTTTTCCACAGCATATCCCAGGCCAGTCATAAATCTCCTTTCTCTGACTTTCACCATTACTGTGACTATTGGGCATATAAGAGTAAGTGGCTGGGCCTGAGACATGGAATCCCAGGACTGTGGGCCTGGGACTCAATCATACAATCATTAAACACTTGTCCTTTTGTGTCTGTCTTATTTCACTCAGCATAATGTCTTCCAGGTTCATCCATGTTGTAGCATCAGAACTTCACTGCATTTGAAAGCTGACTAGTACTCCATTCTCTGCATACAGCACATTATTTTTACCCACTCATCTGCCCAGGGACATCTGAGTTGTTTCCACTCCTTAGCTATTGTGAATAACCATGCTGCCATTACCATTTTGTGCACATATGTTTTTGAACCCCTGATTTCAGTTCTTTTGGGTTGCCATGTATTTTTAAAGGCAATCCAAGAATAGGTCTCTCTTTCACCTAGAAGAGCCATGTTTGTTTTGGTTTGACTTGAGTTTTAGGAAATGGGTTGGAAAGGTGTAAAAGCATCCCAGACTGATGACAGTGACTGTGACTGTACATAGGTGAACCTCTCCATACTGTGCTATGGGATAAAAAGAATACAGAAGCTCTAGTGAAAGGTGGCCCCTCTTCCTCTCTCATCTCTCCAGGACTCTTGCTTCTTTACTTTGACCCAGGATTTCACTTGGTGAGGGACCATAGCCTTAAGAGGTCCAAGCCTCCTTTGCAGTGGCAGTGGGTGGTCTCCTCTCTTCCCTTGGAAACCTCCATGCTTTCTTCAAATTTGCTCACCTAAATACTTGCACTGAGTAACCTGGGGTGCTTACTTAGAATGCAGGCTCCCGAACACCACCCCAAGAATTTGATTCAGAACATAAAGGTGAGCATGGGAGTCCGAATGTTAAATGAGCTCCCCTGTTGATTCTAAGGGAGCCAAGGTCAAGAACCACTGACGATTCTAGGCAAGGTCTCTGGAGACCCTTGGAGCTGTCCTTGGTACCAAAAGAGACTTCACACACGCACGCATGCACTCACAAATGCACACACACATCTCCCTCCACCATCCTGTGTGTTCCTGGTTTCAGCAAATGGCACCCATCATCATGCTTAAAAATTACCAAACTTAACTTATCCCTCTCTTTGACTTCCTGAAACTAGACTGTCTCCAACTCTTAAAGGATTTACATTGAGATATTGCTCACATATCTCCTTCCTTACCCTTCTCTGTCATCATGGCCTTTGGCCTGGGCCATTGTACCAGCCTCTTCATGGGTCTCTCTGCCTCCCATCTCCACCACAACCCCATCCATTCTCAAGACTGAGCCAAGTCTGCTCCTTGCCTGCTTAGAAACATCCTCTAGTTTCCTGCCATCTTTGGATAAGTCCAAGCATGTTAATTGCCCTAAGACACCCTTCCTGATTATTATGTCTGAAATCACCCCCACCTCTGCTGCCATGCCTTTGTACACACTGCTCCCTCTGCCTGGATTTACCCTTCCTCCGTGTCTCAACTTGGGAAACTAGCCTCAGCCTATGTGTCTTCTTGCGTGTGCTTTTCTCAGCAGCCCCACGCAAAAATAGTTGCACTCTCTACTCTTCTGTGGACATAGATGATAACCCATCACCATGATCTGTCTGTCGCACTGTATAGAAATAATCTCAGCCTCCTCCTTCAGTCCGGGGAGGGACAAATATAGCCTGTTTCATCTCTATATCCCCATGTCTAGGAGCTAGAAGTTAGCGATCCTCAGAAAGTAAGATGAATGCATTGATTACTGAGTTCTTTCAACTTGTCAAATCTGGAAAGACCATCCCCCATAGAGATACTCATTTTAACCTTATGTCACATGACCTCTTCTGCCTTGGGGTCTTTGCTCATGTGTTTCCCTCTACCAAGAACACCCTTGCTCTAATCTCTGCCTACTTTTCCTTCAGTGTTCAATATAAAGATACACCTTCAGAGCTACCTCTGATATCTCAATCTAAATCAGAGCTCTCCAAGTGAAATAATGTTGCAAGAGGAAAACAAGATGAAGCATGTATATGATTAAGTGTCAAGTGAAACAAAGAGTAAGTTCAAGGAATGGAGAATTTATGTGAATTAGAAAGCCACACTAGGCTCTACATTAGACATAGACCATAAGCAGAGTCTTTAGGACAAAGAAAGGTTCAGGTAGACACGGTGTGGGCCATTGCAGAGGCTGCGAGCGAGCAACTTGGGGTGGGAGGATCCAAAGTAGGCTCTGCCCACTGATCTCCCCATTGTGGCTTTGTCCACTAGGTGGAGATGATTTTACTCATTTACTCATTGGTTCAAAGGCTCCCAATATGGGATGACCCACATTGAGAGGGAAAAGGCACAATACAAGTAGATATAAGGAGAACGCTCTTGGAGGAAGGGAGAAGAGGAAACAAAGCCCACTGAGTTCCATTATGACGGCTTCAGACATCAATGGAGGCACCCTCTGACTTCTATTCTCAGGAAGCCCTGAAATGCACTAGTGGAAAATCCAGCCCCTTACAGGAGTCCTCCAAGAAAAGCGTCCACTGTAGCTGCTGAGCTTGCAGGGCAGGTTAGGATGGGGGCAAGGATTACAGTCCCCCAGTGCACAAATGTGTAAATACAGCACTTGCCACAGTTTAAAGAGAGTTTACCTGTTTGTTTTCCTTATTTGTCTCAGCAGCCAGAGTCCAGGTGCCAGGAGCAAGGAATTCATTATTCTTGTGGATCACGATATCCCAATACCTAGTTCAGCACCTGGCAGAGAAGTAATAACTATTTTCTGAATGAATGAGTGGAAAATGAAACTTCTCAGATATTCAACAATAAGGAAATTGTTAAGCGAATTATGACGAATGCTATTAGTGACAGCTTCAGCCACGGAGGAAAATGTTGATGATGTAACATTAAGGGAACTAGTGCAAGCATCGTAATTACAATGCTTAAAAATGGCTCCACGCACACAGGGCCTGGAAGAATATAGAGACAAATGAGAACAGCTGTGAAGCTGGAGACACGAGATCTTTCTTGAATTTTTCCTCTCCATTTTAGCAAACTGCAGCATCCTTGTGGGTCTTCATACCCTTGAGCCCAGAAATGAGTCCCATTTCAAGAGATTATCACTGAGAATCAGAAAGACAAAGCTTTTCGTGGTGAGCAGCCTCTCTGTGACAGACATTGGGCTAAACATTTTGCATACATCGTGTCATTTCCTCTCAGAACAGCTCTGGAATGAGTCCCTTGATGAGCCACCTTTCTAGATGGCAAAGGAAATTGTACTTGGAGAAGAGAAGTCACATGCCCAAGTCACATAGTTAGTAAAGGCAGACAGCAGTCTAACTCAGGGTGGTCTGATGTTAGCACCTGGCTCCCAACACCCACAATGGACACCAAACTCTTGTCCACAGAGACATTCAACGTATGTTTAAACATAATGGAGCCCAATATATGTACGTGTACATAAATGTACAGACACACTAGTCCTCAGCTATGGAACCATACTCAGAGTCAGGCACTGGAAGTAAATATGCCAAATACTAATAGTGATTACTCTGGGTGATGACATCAGGGTGTTTCTTTTTCTCCTTCCCCTTGTCTTCCTCCCTTCTCCCCCTTCTCTTCCTTCTTTCTTTGGCAATTCTGGGATTTGACCTTGGGGCCTTGCACTTGCTAAGCATACACTCTATCATCCCCAGCCACATTCCCAGCCCTTTTTACTTTAGGTTATTTTTCAGGTCTTGTGTTTTTTGTCCAGTGTCCAGCCTCAGACCACAATCCTTCTCCTTGGGCCTCTTTCATAGCTGGGACCACAGGCATATGCCTGGTTTGTTGGTTGACATGATCTTGCTAACTTTTTGCCCAGGCTGGCCTCAATCTGTGATCTTCCAGCTCTCCATCTCCAGAGTAGCTGGGATTACAGGCAGAAGCCACCATGCCAAACCTTTATTTTCCTCTTTATTCTTTTTTGTTTTCCAAATTTTTTAGAGTGAGCATGCAATTGCTTCATGTACT